ATCTGTAGGGAGGAGGAAAAAGGAAAAAGAAAAAAACAAATAATAATAATAATAATAATAATAATAATAATAATAATAATAATAAAACAAATCTGTAGGGAGGAGGAAAAAAGAAAAAAGAAAAACAAATAATAATAATAATAATAATAATAATAATAATAATAAAAGTAAAATAAAAACAAATCTGTAGGGAGGAGGAAAAAAGGAAAAAAAAAAAAGAAAAACAAATAATAATAATAATAATAATAATAATAATAATAATAATCTTATCTTACTCTATATAATAGCAAAATGTTTTTGCCATGTCATTTTTCCGCCTAAATGAAATGGCATCATTACATGGTATAACCTTAATTGTTAGATTAATTGTAGATTAATTGTGGATGGCTGAATTATTAATCACAATGAGTTTTAAATGTCTTGGGAAAAAAATAAAAAATCATTTATTTACTGTATATAGTTTAATTTATTAATTTTAAATTATGTATATATATATATATATATATATATATTTATATATAATTATTTATTTAAATGTAAAATTTTAAAATATCATGTGATATATAATAACACAATGTTTTATAATATATGCTAATAGTATGTTGTGATGTTTTAATATAACAACCAATTTAGTATTATAAAAAAAGTAACATTTCCTAATTAATTTTAATGATTGATGTTTGAATTTTATCAACAACAAAAATACTTAAATTTTATACCGTGCATCGCACGGGACAAATAATAGTAATATAATAATAATAATAATAATAATAATAATAATAATAATAATAATAATAAAACAAATCTGTAGGGAGGAGGAAAAAAGAAATAAAAAACAAATAATAATAATAATAATAATAATAATAATAAAGTAAAAATAAAAACAAATCTGTAGGGAGGAGGAAAAAAGAAAAAAAGAAAAACAAATAATAATAATAATAATAATAATAATAATAATAATAATAATAAAACAAATCTGTAGGGAGGAGGAAAAAAGAAAAAAGAAAAACAAATAATAATAATAATAATAATAATAATAATAATAATAATAATAATAATAATAATAATAATAATAATAATAATAAGAGCGTAAAGGAGAATAACCTAGAAAATGAAAAAGACTTCTAAAATGCGCACAGCAGGATTCAAACATAGACCTCGCCCATTATGTACTGTTTAACTGAAATTTTTTCACTCCTCCATTTGGAGAAGTCCAAATCTTCTTTCTCCAAAATTGTACATGAGGTTGGAAAATGGAGAAGGAGAAAGCATTTGGAATAAGAAACTTAGTAAACAACTTCTCCAATTTTTATTTTTTCCACTCTCATTTTCTTCATTTTTTTGGAAAATCCTCCATTTTTCCAAGTTAGTAAACGACCCCAAAATATTTCTTGTTTTAAGCATATGCTAAGACCATCAAAGATTCTCCTAATTTGTATACAATTAATTGATGTGATGATAACAATAAATCTGGGAAAAATAATAATTATAATAAAATTAATTGTTATTAAATACTTGAATTATAATACCTCAAAATTCTAATAACAAGATATGACTAAGGCATTCATAACTTAATAATAAGGAACTAATAAGCATAATATACCCGACATCCAATAATAGATAATATGTATATTTAAAGTTTAAAGACACATGTTACTGCCATATCTATTTCACCCAAATAGATGTAAGGCTACTACAAATATCCATCCAAAATATTAAGGATTCTAGTAATCCCATCAACATCGTCTAGCACCAATCCATACATCAAAAATTCAGAACAGAGTAATTAATCTACCATCACCAAATTTCATAATGCCATTAAAGTCTAAGATCCAACAAAATAAGCTAAGGGAGTCTATAGCTTCTACCGTGCACTCGCAAGCAAACAATCAATCAAAGCCTGAAAATGTTAAGTTATAAAAGACGCAAAACACAATGTTAACATAAAGTTAAGTATGTCTTACTATGCTCCGTAAAATACATACATTTGTAATTTGAAAATAATTTTACTTTTTTCAAAATAGTTTAGAAACTTATTATAAGATATATGTTAAAATATTCATTCAAGGTATAAGATTTTAAACAAGGTAGTAAACAGTTGTCAAGTAAAACCAAAGTAACTCAATATAATTTTTTTTTTTTTTTTGAAAACAATAACTCAATATACTAAACAACTTTAGAAAGGCAAATAGGTTGTAAATAAATAAGGTAACTTTCATAACATACTTTTACTTCTTGAAGAAAACATAGACTTTGCATATACTTAAATGATCACCTCATATCATAGACGAAACTTAACTTTACAACATAGTCAAAATATATCCTAGTTTCAAAACATAAAAAGACCATTGCAGTTTGCAGACATGGGTGAGAAAATTAGTGTCAATATATCCTGGTGGTTGCTTCATTTGACATTCTCACTCAGGCAGTCATTGAGGAAAATATTGTGAACATCAAGCTATTTGATACACCAACCATTTGTTATAGCAAGAGATAAAAGAAGTCTTATTGTAGTTGGTTTGATGACTAGACTAAAAGTGTAAAAATAATCTTCTCCTTAAATCCGATTGAACTCTTTGGCAACAAATTTGACTTTGTATCATTCATTTATACCATCGGTTTTTCTTTTGATTCTGTAAACCCATTTGCATCCTATCACATTCATATCTCGTTCATGTGGAACCACCCTCCAAGTGTTGTTGTGCAGTAGTTCATATAGCTTGGGAGTGACACGTGGGTTCTGAGTCATCAACACAAACAATTAAGACTTTGTTACATCGAGTCATGTGCCTTAGAATCATCAGATGAGTGCGTTGATGATGTTTGGGCATGAGAGGATCAACCGAAGGTGGAACAGGATCAAAATCGGCCGGGGGAGAGTTGGGGCCGGTGACACGGGTGTGTCGCAGGCGTGTCTTTCACTGGAATTGGGATACGGACGCAATGCGGTGGCGACACGCTCGTGTTGAAAGTCATTTTCGTGGCTGGTACCGTGACACGCCTGTGTCACACACTAGAAAGTCGACATGATCCCAACACGCTAGCAACACATATGTGTCAAATTTCTCCTATAACGATATGAACATGGACAAAATAGATGTATCCTGACATATCCAATTTTGAATTGCAGGATTGGCGGCTACTAAGGACGATCCATTGGAACCTTAATAAAAGAAGCTTAACACGAGAATGTGCCATCTACATTAACTATTAAGATCTTGCCCGCGAAGAAAATGAAAGAGATGGGTCTTCCAGAATAAATAATATAATTAGAGGATGTAAGTTTTATAGATACAAAATGATTTTCTGTCTATAGGGTATTTATTGATGGTGGAGGGGTGGAGGATATATCGGAGAGGGTATGAGAAGAGGACATTTACTCACCGGTGGGTGGAGGATATATCGGAGAGGGTATGAAGAGGACATTTACTCACCGGTGGTTGGTGGCAGCACGAATGTGAACTCTAAATTTGAGGAGAATAATAATTCTGGAAGAATGAATTGTTATTGAATACTTGAATTATACAATATATGTGAAAGAACTATTTATAGGGATATAAAGAGTCCTAGTCAAACGTGGAATAATACAATGAATATACAAAGAGAAGAACTCTAGTGTGACTAGGAGATAGAGTCCTAATATGATTGACTTCAATTCAAGCTAATGTGCACTTATACATTACTAGTGGTGAATGGACAAACTGCATTATATATTCCCGTTTCCACCTTAGTCTAAGGTTAAGGAAATCGATTTGGATTGGTTCATACAGAAGAGAAGGTCGATTCCAATGTTATTGTAAAAAGAAATTTAAGAAAGGAGTTTTGACGGCCTTAATCGACACTATTATAATTATAATATATTAATATGTATCATACACGGTTAGAGACTTATCAACTCTCGTCTAATTTTTCTAACCTAAAAAGTGTATGAAAATGTATACTTTTTTAAACTTTCAAGAGTATTGTCGGGGTTGTCAGAAAATGATCAAAAATTGTAACATCTAGTCAATCGTTGGTCTGAAAGTTATATATCACAATAGAACATCTAATTTTTGACCACCTTAATGGTCAAAATCTTAGACCAGCAGGAGACAATCTAGCAACTGAATTATCTAAGTTTTTTGATGATCTTTATTGGTGATCGAAAATAACAAGAAATGATTTTTTTTTTAAAGTTACAAAAAGGTAAAAACAAGTGTCATTTCCAAAAAAAAAAACAAAAAACAAAACAAAAACTTGAAACTGCCATTCACTTTTTTTGTTGTGGTTAGAAATTTAAGATTTTCACAGTGATATAGGGGAAGATTTTTTTTTTTTTTTTTTTTCAAAATATGGCCATACATCAAGGTTATTGTTATTATTATTATTTTTTTTTTAATGTCAGGTATGACCATAAAGTAACAAAGCATTTTTTAATAGATTTTAAAGTAGGTGTATTTTAAACATCAAAACCTACCAAGACTATGTGGTTTAATGTTACCCGAGTTGGAAAGTATAAAGTATATGAGCAGATACTACATACTGTAGTAATAGTGCCAATAGCATTCAAAATCTAAAATATTTTGTGTTAAGCTTTGGATTTGTTCCAAGAATTTATGCCACTCCCATTTCTGCACATGACCATATAGCATATATTATCATTTGAGTATATGCTACAAAATTTAGGTCAAATGATCAACTTGGTGTGTGACTAATTCCATTGAAATCCCTGTTCTGTTCTTAATTTCTTATGCCCCTCTTCTTTCATCATTGCAACCAACTTTCTTTTCTCTATTAATTAATAAATCCTTAGTTTTATACATGTTAAGGATTTTTTTTAATTTTTTTTTTTTAATATTGGGAGTGTATGCTGAAGTGCTGATCCTGAAAAATAAAAATTGTTACCTTAACAAATATCTGCAAATAGTTTTGTTTAATTAATTAATTAATTGTGATGATATAGATTATGAGAAGGTCCAAAATATAAAAATAGAAATAATAATGCTTCCGCAATAATAAATAGTGTGTGACGATGCAAGTGACTTTAATCAACCCTGGTCTTCCTCCTCCTCCTACTACATCTGAGCTTTTTTGGTTCATAAAATCAGACCAAAACTCTCACTCTCTCACTCTCTCTCTTTCAATTTCTGCTGCCTTTAAGCTAATGTAAAGACCCAGCAAGGATTTGGGTGGAAGTAGAATGGCATATATGTGTACGGACAGTGGAAATCTAATGGCGATTGCGCAGCAAGTCATCAAGCAGAAGCAGCAGCAAGAACAACAGCAGCAACAGCAGCAGCAGCTTCTGGGTGTAAACTCTTTTTGCCTGAATCCATGGCAGACGCCTCATCCGGCGTTGAGTGGTAGCCCTACTTTGGGATATGGGCTCGCTGGGGCGCCGTTTGCGGACCCGTTTCAGGTCCCCGGCGGCGGCGCGGATGGTGCGGAGGCGGGGTTTCAGTTTCCCAGCTTGGAGCAGCACGCCGGAGGGGTGTTTCCGTTTACTGATTTTGGTGGCGGGCCGGGCGGCGAGTTCGACTCGGATGAGTGGATGGAGAGTTTGATAGGCAGCTCGGAGTTTGGTCTCTACGGTTCGGATCCGTTTGCTGGCCCGAGTCGACTCAGTGTTCCCTCGTCGGCGCCTTCGGATCTCAACCGCGTCATTTTCTCTGAAGCTCAGAGGAATAATAATACTTGCCCTCTACAACCTCAGACGGCGGAGTGGGCCCCTACTTCGTCTTCGCCGCCGCCACAGCCGTCCTGCATCGGCACCAAGCAAACAAGCCCGACTCACCGGAACGACGTCGCAGCAGCAGCAGGCACCTCCTTCAGTTCGCCGGACAATTTGTCGTCAAAACCGTTGCTTAAAGCGTTAGTGGACTGCGCTAGACTGGCGGAGTCGGAGCCGGACAATGCTACGAAATCGCTGGTTCGACTCAGGGAGTCGGTTTCCCAGGACGGAGATCCGACGGAGCGAGTTGCGTACTATTTCTCCGAAGCGCTCTACAGTCGCCTTTCCCGGCTACCGGCGAAGATTCCGTTGGCCGTAGAAGCGAGCTTGGAAGAGTTCGCGCTGTCTTACAAAGCTTTCTACGACGCCTGCCCGTATTCAAAGTTCGCTCACTTGACCGCTAATCAAGCGATTCTAGAAGCTACCGAGAAAGCTTCGAGGATTCACATCGTTGATTTTGGTATCGTGCAGGGCATTCAATGGGCGGCGCTTTTACAGGCACTGGCAACCCGACCCGCCGGAAAACCCAAATACATTCGGATTTCCGGCATTCCCGCTCCGGTGCTCGGCAAGTCTCCGACGGCCTCGCTTTTAGCAACCGGGAACCGTTTGCGCGACTTTGCGAAGGTTTTGGATCTGAATTTCGAGTTCGATCCCGTTCTGACCCCTATCCCGGAGTTAAACGAGTCCAGTTTACGGGTCGACCCGGATGATGCTCTCGCCGTCAATTTCATGCTTCAGCTATACAATTTATTGGACGAGACGACGGCCACCGTGGAGGCGGCACTGACGCTCGCGAAATCGCTGAATCCCAGCGTTGTAACGTTGGGGGAATACGAATTGAGCCTGAATCGGGTCGGGTTCCTGGAGAGGTTCACGAATGCGCTGAATTACTACTCGTTAGTCTTCGAGTCTCTGGATCCGAATATGCCTCGAGACTCGCCGGAGAGGCTGCAGGTGGAGAGGCTGTTGCTTGGCCGGAGAATCGCCGTGATGGTGGGGCCGGCGGAACAGGAGACCAAAAGAGAGTGTACTGAAGATAAAGAACAGTGGAAAATTCTAATGGAAAACGCAGGTTTTGAGCCGCTACCACTCAGCCATTACGCAATGAGCCAAGCAAAAATTCTTCTCTGGAACTATAGTTACAGTGCTTCATATGGGCTGATTGAATCTCCGCCTGGGTTTCTCTCCTTGGCCTGGAACGATGAACCTCTCCTCTCTGTTTCTTCATGGCATTGATTGAATGAATCAACAATGGTAGATTTCCGGTCCCTGTCTTTTCTCTGCAGATCAGATACCTTAAAATCACAGAATTTACCCACAAATCTTCCAAGAATTTGCCAAGTATTGTGTTTTGAAAACATAAGTTCTGAAGCCATCCATGAATGAAGCTTTGAAGAAGCCCCCCTTGGTCTTTTAATTTGATGTTCCCTGTAATCAGTATGACCAAACAGATTAGTATAGATTGATATTATATATTTTTGATCTCTTTAGAGTTTAGACCAACCCAAGATGTTATTAACTTTGCAGCTTGACTTATCAAGATTGATCAAGGTCCCATGTTTATATCTCTGTTGTTACCTTCTCCCCAGGTTTTTGTTTTTGTTTTTGTGGTATTTGGTAGGAATAGTTTCTTACTGCCCTCTTTTTTCTTCAGGGCAGGGTTGGGAATTCTTGAAAGTTGAAAGGCAGGGAACCAAGTGTAACTGTGCATATATGGTTTTAGTTTTTACTATGGATATTGATTTGCATTAAACTCTATGTTTCTACTTTATAATTGTGTGTAAACATGGGTGTGGTGTTCTATTAAGGTTTGTTGCTTGCAGGCTGGTAAAAATATGAATGGGAAAGAAAAGATGTCATTTTCTCTCAGGTTCTGTCTGCAAAATGGGCTGTCAGCTATGGTTATGACAAAGACCCAAGCTTTTTTTTTTTTTTTTTTTTTTGAAAAAAAAATCTTTAATTTCTACTGACTTGCTTCTGTAGACTGTAATCTTTTGTTTTGGATGTGCAATTTCCCATTTCCTATTCAGTCATCCCAGTCCAGTACTGATACCAGAAATGACCTTTTTCTGTGTACTGGTGCACACTTGAAAATAGGAATGCATTAATGGATGGATGTCCCTTTCTCCCTGCAAACTAGCTGTCCATTGTGGGTTTAATGTTAAAAAGTTGAAATTGTCAATTTTGTGTATTAATCTCTGTGGTTGCACGGATTCTTGGTTTAATGAACTATCCAGTATTCAGTGTACTCTGTACTGGATCTGGTATCTGAATCCCACTCTGATTTGGCCTGTGCACTGTTACCAACTATGGGTTTTGTAATTTATGGCCAATAAATAAATGTAGGCCTTTCTCATATCCTACAATCATAAAAACACTAAATCCTAATTTTTTGTGTTAATTTGTAAATGGAAAATCTACCTCAATCTTTATTCTGTCAACTAGGTAACACGAGAACTAGGGCATCTCATTTGATTTTTTTGAGTGGTAGATCATAGGCAAGAATACTAGATCGAGTCTTAGTGGGTTCTTTGTGAGCACCAAACACTTGTCGCCTTAAGGCAAGGGGGTTTCGTCTTTTATGGACAACGAGAAATGAAGAAAAGATTAACTAGGTGGTAGATTATGGATAAATACACAAGATTGAGTCTTATTGATCACTTCTTGTTCTTGGGGACGCCAAACACCATTGCCCTGGAGTCTGGGTTAAATATAGAAGGAGAATAGTTTAGTTTATTTGTGCGTACTAGATTATGAACAATAACACAAGGTTAACTGATTAAGTTTTATTGGGTAATGGGCACCTTGTGACCACCAAACATTGGTTCTCTCATTTAATGAGAGCCATAACATTTGAAGACTTAAGGGCAAAATTGTTTCACTTATCTTCAAAAGTTCGAAGATCGTCTTGGGACGAGGGAGTGTCATCTTTTGTGGGCATCAAGAAACGAAAAACGAGAAGGAGAGAAGGGGCATGGTAATGGGGATTTGAGTTAGATATAGAGCGGAAAAGGGAAAGCGTAGTAGAGTAGGCTTACAGAAAGTGGTGTCGGAGGAGTGAAAACAGAGAAGTATGAATACATTACTGCATCGAAAGTCATCAATAACGAAATTAAATCGTTAACCTTAAAAGTGAAGTGACATTTCTTTCTTTGATGTCGCGTCTCTCTTTTTCCCTACGCCTCAACTAGGAATCCAGGCTCCATTGTCCCATCTACCTACTTACTTTTCTCTATCACCTTAAAATAAATATATCTACAAATAGCCTTGTGAATTGCGATACACATTTCAATACAATCTAGTTTATATATTTTGTTATTTGATGACATTACTGTTACAGATTGAATCTTATTATACTCAAGGTTCAAATCTCATCCTATTCTTATATAATAAGAGTTTGATTAATTTTTAAATACGATTAATTATGTTTTACTTACCAGTAGCCGGTTTGAGTGACGTGGTGATTTGAGGCAACGGTCCAGTGGCAGTGGTCCCATATTGTGAAGACAGAATAACCCCCACAGTGCTACACTCTACCTCTTCATATATTTACTGCACACTACAGACTACAGTATACAAGTCCTTTCTCGCAGCTTCTTTTTTTTTTTTTATATTTTTCCACTTTTCCCCACCCTTTCTTTCTTACTGTCCTTTCTCTCCTGCTACCCCAATCTCGATGACCCATCTCTTACGCCCCCCTCCCCCACCTTTTTTTTTAAATAATTATTATTTGGGTATTGTATAGTGTATTTCTGTACGTATTCACATGGATGGCAGGACCAACTTTATTGCTGAATACGGAGTATGTATAATGGAAAATTATGCTATGGAATCTTGTCCACCTTGCAAAGTGTCATTTTAAAGTGTTCATAATATGAATATATAGTTTAAAAATTATGAACATATAATTTTATAATTATGAACATATAATTGTAAACATAATTATAAGTATATAATTTGTAATTATGAATATAGAGATTCAATAATTGTAAATATGAAGTTCCAAAATTATAAATATATAACTTCATAATTATGAACATATAGTTCAGTAATTGTGAACATAAAGTTCTGTAATTGTAAACATAAAATTAAAAAATTATAAATATATAGCTTTAAAATTATGAATATCGAACTGTGTCTACTTTGTAAGATGGACACGATTTCACAACATAAAGATTTGCACATTTGTATAAAGGGCCGTTCTTCATATAAAGGGCCATAAACCAAGGCTCGAAGCCCATTGATTGAGAGTTTTCTCATGTCAACTGGTAGTGAAAATAAAAAGAAGATTATTGTCAGGAAAAAACGACGTCGTTTTTAATTGTTTCTTTTTTACTTTCATTTGATCTGCGAGACTGCTCTCGCCTCTGCGCCTCCCTCGCCAAAACGTTCTCTGCTCTCGCCACCGCCCAACGCTCGCGGCCCGCCACCACACGGCGCCTCTTCCTCGCCAGTCACCGCCGCCCACCGTCTTCTGCCTCAGGCCTCTCCACTGTCGCAAGCTGCTCAGGTTCAACTTCTCACCCCATTGTTTAATTGTTTGCTTAATTTCAGTAATTTGTTCAATAAGCAACTTCTCTAATATTTTTGTCCGCCCAATTGCCCTAATTTTGTTTTTGCTCTAATTTCCCTAATTTTGTTTGTTGCTGGTTTAATTTATGTAATTATGTGATGCCCTAATAATGTTAGTTGCTGGAAATGTTAGTTTCTAAATTCTAATTTGAGGAATTTTTGCAGCAAATTTGAGTCATGTTAGTTTCTAATAATTTCCCTAGTAATGTTTGCAGCAAATTTGAGTAATGTTTGCTGCCCAGGTTCTAATGTTTACTTATACTGATGGGTGATGTACTGCTTAATGTTTGCTTATACAGAGCTCAGAAAGTACCATTTATGCTTAATGTTTGCTTATAAAGTACCATTTGGTATTTTAGTTAGAAATTGAAATAACATACAGAAACTGAAATACTCCGTAATACTTAAGAAATTAGAATCACATGAATTATATGTTGACCAAGTTTTCTTTGTTTTGGACTCCCTTAATTAGTGAGTTAAAATATCATTTGTTATTTGTCTTGAGTTTCCAACTGAGGATAAAGTACCACTTAGTTGTCATGAATGTTTAACGTTTCTAAGATCGTGGATTTCTTATATTTTCGATCTAGAAATGTTTAATTGGACATTTTTTATTAGTTATTACAAAGCAAAGGTTGCAATCTTGGTGTGGTGTTTAGCTGCTGTTTGAAGTAACGGATTATGATTTTGAAGTCTTAGATTGATTGATGAATGCAGTAGCAATGGAAGCTAAATTCTTTCGCTTTCTCAAGATTGTTGGAGTTGGTTTCAAAGCACGAGCAGAATCTGAGGGCCGTTTGTTGTACCTCAAACTGGGTTACAGTCATGAGGTTGAGCTGACCGTTCCTCCTGCAGTTCGCGTATTCTGCTTCAAACCCAACGTGATCTGCTGCACTGGGATCGACAAGCATCGAACGCATCAGTTTGCTGCATCAATCAGAAGCTGTAAGCCCCCTGAAGTGTACAAAGGGAAAGGAATAATGTACATTGATGAAGTGATCAAGAAGAAGCAGGGGAAGAAATCGAAATGAGCTCCCAGGTTCCATTTTCTTTGCACCTTTCCTGTTAAATTTCTCTGGAGGGATCAAAAACCTACATTCCATTTGATAAGATTATAGCACTCTATTTCCCTTCAAGATTTTGTCATGCAATATCTTTGCTTTGGAAGGAAGTATTACAGTAGCCATGTTCTTGAATTTGGTGTTCTCCCTCTGCATTCTATGACTATCTGATATAAAGATATGCTCATTGAAACACCTTAGAATTCGTATTTATTTCTTAAACTAATTGATTGATTGCACATTATATTGACAAGGAAAGCCAACATTTTGGTTGTGGTCTTGTGGAGATCTCTCAGTTGTTGGCATAATATCCTTGACTGGATGTGATATTTCCCTTATGGTAGACTGACTGGTGCTATTTCAACTTTGCCGGTCAATTGAAGAAAAGAAAATTGCAAAATTGATAAATGATTTTAGGGGATTGAAAAAATCACATTTGAATGACAGCTTGATTAGCAACTCCAAGTTATATTCTCTCACAAAACAATAGAGAGATATCTTAAATGTGAGTTTAATTTAGTTTTTTAAATAGAATTACTATGATTCAATTTTATTTATTTTTTTTTTCTTGTCAATGTTTTTCTAATTAATTTGTAATTATTTACATTGAAACAAACCCCACAATTTGTTAGTCACAATTGAATAACAATTTGATTTGTGCTATGGTGAAATGTGAAAAAGCAAGCATGATTTCATGTTGATAGGAATATTGCACTATAAGTTATATTCTCCGCTAAAACAATAGAGACTAGATTTTTTAGAACTACAATTCTTTTTTTTTTTCCCCAATGTTTTTCTAATTAGTTTGTAATTATTTACATTGAAACAAACACCTACAATTTATTATTATTGTTAAAAATATAGCGGAATAATTTAGAAACAAATAATTGAAAAATAAAAAATTATAGAGAAGTTAAAATAATAAGAAAAAATATAAATGACAAGAGAATTGGGATTGAAAGAATGTAATTCTATATATATATATGTTATGTTATAATTTTTCTATAATTTTCAAATTTTGATTATTCCCTTCTATTCCTAATAATTATTATAATAATTTTTTCTTGATATTAATATCACTACAATTACGATTGCAATACAAGTAATAATAATTTATTGTTGATGGATTATATTAACTCGGGGGTTTGAATTAATTAACCCGATTAAATAATAGAAATGACAAGTATAGGATTACGATAAAGACAATGATGAATTGTAAGGTAATAAGGGATCGAAATATGTACGAATGTAAGTCATGGGGAAAAATATTTGTATTAGTCACGTGTTGAATGTTATTACAAATGTTCAAGTAATGTAATAACAAGACAAGATTGTGGATTAGGACAGCTCGTGTCTCAATAGGGCATGAATGAGGGTTTTTTATACCCAATTTCGTCATAACAACTCCGGAGAAAGTGATGGGAAGTCATCTCAACCGTCTTGGACCGCAACAAACGCCGCAAGACTCGAACAATGCGGAGACCCCGCCCGTTGGCCGAGCACGGAGCTCGGCCAAGCGGCCGACCTCGGCCCTAGTCCAAGTACGGTGCCTCGGATTTGATCCGCTCCGGATCCGTTTCGTAATTATTCCATCAATTGTAATAAGGATCAGTTATCAAATATGTCAAACTGCAAAAACTTAATAAATTGTAATTTGGATCAATGAACAATGCAATATCATGCTATTAAACCAAAAATAAAATGTTTACCCTTTTTTGCTGACATGGTCGTTACCTTATTAAACGATTAAAAATTTAAAAAAAAATCCAACCCCTAACATATAATGTGCCGGGCGGATCAATCGTAAAAAATATATTCTATAAGAATTGATGAAAGCTAGACAGAGTTGCCCGATCAACAAATGGCCTACAGGCAACAGAAGTTGAAAACCGAAAATATAAAAAACGCAAGGTCCCACCGAGATTTGAACTCGGGTTACTGGATTCAGAGTCCAATGTCCTGACCACTAGACCATGGGACCTCTTGTCTAGTTGTCTTATATTTACCATATTTGTATTCATTTCTGTTGTTGTTGTCACTAGCAATGAATAATCCACTGGAATCTTGATCAAACTCGACTGGAGAAGCTCTTAAGTTTTTTACCACACACCACCAGGCTTATAAAAATAATAGTCAGAAATTCTTTCTTAAATAATTATTATTCAATATTACATTTATACCAACATTTTAATGATTTCATTTTGTAGTATAAAACTAGCTTGACTATAGACAATATGAAAGTGAGTTCCACCAATTTGATTTGGTGTAAAGTGAAATTGTCATAGTTGATTCCACCTGATCTTTAGTTTGATTGTTTCACAGTCCCATGCCGCTATTGAACTTTACAGCATTTCCCAAAACGCCTGTTCAAGTTGGTAACACCGGCAACTTCTGTCATTGTGATTCTTATTATTACACAAAAAATCTTAACATTACAATTCAAGATGAACAGGCAACAATGTCAATTTTCACTTCTTCAGATGATCCGGTGACGCCGTGGGGCAGTAAGTTTGCACTCGCTAAAATATCTACAACATCGCAGCATTGCAGATGGTTCTATACCTTCATGTGATTAATATGGCAGGATCAGCTTCTATGAATCCCCGGGGGAATACTTGATAACCAAAGTTTACTTCAAGGTATGGAAATCCGTGCAGTGGGTAAATGCGTAATGGTTGCGTCTGTCAAGTACTATCTAGCCCACCAAGAAGAAACAGATTTGGCCACTATTTTGCTTGCGGTCGAGGCTGACTCTAATCTGTATTTCATTGATACCATTCTCAGTTAAAGAACTCACTTTCACTAATTTGAGCATACAAAGAGCATCATTTTGAAGCCCACCAAGAAACCTCACATGCAAGTGAACATGAGAAGCACATGCATGCATGTGTGACTCTTTTCGGAGTGGCTGCCCGAGTGCATGTGTGTGTGTGTGTGTGTGTGAGAGAGAGAGAGAGAGAGAGAGAGAGAGAGAGAGAGAGAGAGAGAGAGGCAAACTTTGTGATTTCTTCAACAGCCTTCATAAGCTCAAAAGAATCTGTTCCTTGAACTTGACCTCCCAAAATAATTTCATCTAAGATAGCATGCATCTGTGGAAGACATTATATGCATCACATATTGTTGGATGCATTTTGCAAAATTCTAATAACAGATCACGACAGTATCCACACAAAAAGGAATAGCAGAACCTTTAGCAACTACATAAAGGATCACATTAGTCAGCAATGATAATACTGCTACTTTACATTCAGAACCTAGCATTTGATTGGCTAAGCAGCTTTGAGTGGTCCATTGGAAGAAATGATTTCCAATTTGTCATACATAATCATTAGATCACAATTAAGTGATTATCTCTTAATCCAGTAGTAAGTCTCTTTAGCCTAGTTACTAGATATTTCAGAGATTGGAACACTCAACACGATGGATTCTTTTTGGTGTCACCTCAAACAAAGCAATTTGCAAATGTACACCAATTTAATTATTTCATATCCAATGTCTGAACCAAAGTATGTAGGATAAAGGCATGAAGTTTAAAAACTAGAAGAAAAAAAAAAGATACTGAAAATACTTAACCTTGCTATAATTAAATACGATGTCAAGCTCACAAACATTTTTGAAGCATCTGTCCAATGTCTCCACAAGAACTGAAGTTGACATTGAAGATAACAAGTGATCAAATCCATAGCATTTAAGATAAAGGAGAAGCAATTTATGTTAATGATGAAGGAAAATAGTTTGAAAAACATGATAAAGTAAGAGTAATCTTCTTAATCCTCATTCATCTGTTTAGTCCAAGTACAAGCAAATAGTATAAATGTATAATACCATATCAAGTAACTGGCACTAACATGCTTACTTTTTCCAGAATTTTTTGGGCAGTCAAATTTCTTTTCGCAATAATAACACATTCCTTTAAGTAAAGCCAATAGTACGGTCATTCATTTGCACCAAAAGGAAAATGCTAGCAAACGTGCAAAATCCTTATCATTAACCCCCACCCCCACCCAAAAAACAACCTCCTACCTCTCTGCTGAGATAGCTTCCAATAAAGTACCATAAGAAGATTTATAATCAATCGGAATAAACTGATAAACTTCAAATTCAGTGCTACAAGAACAGTTATAACCAATCATTCACATTGTTTTCTGAAGGCAGGTTTAAAGTACGAGAGGATGACAATGATCAAGCTATTACCTTGTATTAGATCAAGCATAGCAAGTTCATTCTCAGAATTATCAAATAGTAATACAAAGTATAAGGTAGCATAGTGTTTGTATACAAGCTGTGTATCCTGAAATCCAAATTACAGTACGAATTAGACCAAAATGCAGTAGGAATCAAAGCCAATTTGAAGATTAACACATCTATTAAAATTAAAATAGCACAACGAACATAAACAAATCAAAATAACTACTTAGAACTGAGGAGGAGGAGGTAATGAACAATGAATTACCGAACCGAAGACTGATCCAATTCCCTGTACAAAGTTGCTTACATCTCCAGGCCGGTTGCTCAGCACTGTAAAACAAATAAACAAATAAAGCAACTATAAAAAAATCGAGAGAGACTGAGAAGTAAGGAATTGACAAACCTGCATAGACTTGACGAATGAACTCTTGTTGCTTTTCCGGAGACTAGAATAAGTAGTCATCATATTGATGTAAGAAAAAAAGAAATTAGATAGCTGATATTTACAAATCTATCAAGAAAGCAAAGGAGTTAGGAGTGAACCTGGGATTCGTAGAATTTGGAAAAGCGAGGCTTGCCGGTGGTGCTAATCACCATCACCGCCTTTATCATTTTGGTTAGATTAGATAGACGATGGACAGTGAGAGTGAGAGTCGCCGGATGTCAACCTTACCTGTCTTAGCATTCACTACAACTCATCATCATTGCCTACTAGGATTAAACAAAAAGGCTTTTGTGTAATTCAGCTCCTAAAATGACAAAAACCTAAACTCAAACTTTTTAATTTCGCGAAAATGTTTTCAATTCTAATGTAACATAATATTCCATGTACTTTCATTTTGTACTTCTAATTTTTATTTTCATATACAAAATTTTGATGTAGACATTTGTATTGAGATTCACATGAAAAAAAGTAGCCTATCAGTGTTCACTCCATCAGAGAGTACAATTTAAGAGTCTATGTAGTAAACTCAGAGCTATATGATTCGTTTTTTTTTTTTTTTAATTTTAAATTTATTTTTAATATAGTTACCCTCTATTCAAGAAGAAGACGTCTATGACCATCTAGACCATTATCTAAATATGAAACTCAAAGATGAGGTTCAAATCTTGAACATTTGAAACGTGAGCGATGACCATGGCTACTACCTATAGAGACTTCATGTCCTTTTAGATTATTCATTTGGACAACAACTATGGTTGTCTCAAATGGTTATGACCGTCTTTTTTTGGATAGTCACAATTATCCAAAAAATTTTAAAAAATAATAAGCGAAAAGATACATGTCAACCATATAAGTATTAAAATGCTATGAAGGGTTGCATTAGAACTCAGTCGAATGTTTTTACCCTTTGAGAGTTTGATTTGATCATTTTTCCCAAAAAGTATAACAATAAATCAAATATTTTAGTGTAGTTTCTTTTAGATTAAAAATTATATCAAAATTAAAATTTTATTTATAATAATTTTTATTTATTTTCACATTATAATACTCCACCTACCCAACCATGCGACCACGAGAATTTAGAATTCTATCCCTTGTATTCATTACTTTTATCTTCCTAATTAATGGTACTTGTTTTTATTTTCAAAAACAAAATCAAGAAGATAATTGAATGTCAAAATTGAAAATTAAATATGAGTTTGAATTATAACCATAATCACAAATGAATTAATTCTCTTGGTACAAAAAAATGTGCGCATTACATTAGTATTATTGCCCAACCACACTAGTATATATAACAAGCTCGGGGTCTCTAATGATGCATATTCTGAGATTTATCTCCTCCACAAAACCTTAGAGATGGGATAATAGGAGACCCTGGGGATTAGGATTCAACCTTTCAAAACCGCAAATAATTTAAAATCGCATTTTCAGATAATCTTACAACACACCTGACACCACACATTAAATTGCACAAAACTTATGGCAACTGTAATACATGAGAACAAGGTTGCTATTTTGCGCTCCTCTCTGGCGCGACGACTGAGAGTGTCCCTTGTAACATCTTTCATGTTCTGCAAATCTCTAAACCAGACAAAGCGTACAAGGTTTGCTATTTTGCACTCATCTCTTGCGCGACTGAGAGCCCCTTGTAACAGCTTTCATGCTCTGCGAATCTTTAAAGCAAACGAAGTGTACAATTGTCTTGCCATTTGGATACACAGCAAAAACACTCGTCCCTATCTTCTTGTTGCAAAGAGAGCACATGCTATCACCGTTGATCTTCACCACTGCTTTCCTCTGGGTATAGAGCTCATCTTTCACCTGCTCATAGTAAAAATGGATACTAACTAAGAACTAAAGCATTGGTAAAAAGATCAATATTGGAGGGAATGTTAGTCACACTGCCAGATGGAATTTACCCCAGAACCCAGAGAAGAGGCTTTTTGAGTTGGTTAAGTGTAAAGACAGCTATTAATGACACCAAAAAGACAGCTGGACAGAAGCATCATACTATGCATCAAGCAAAGCAAGTCCATAATGATAATTTCCACATATGAAACAATACCTGTAGGTTTTCACTCTCCCTCAAACTCCTGATCACTGAAAAGTTTCGGTGTGCTTCACTTGATTTTCTCAGAAGAGGTCCAAGAAACGGAAGCAAGTTCTGGAACAATGTCAAAAGAAATTCAAGATAGGATACAATGTTAAAAGACATTAGGACTAGCAGGTTAAACAAGAAAATTTGGTTAAAGTTGAAGAGTTTATTTTTTACAGTTTCCCTGGGAAGTCTATCTCAGATTGTGAACATTTAAGATGAATTGATTATAATCAGTTTATTATATGGAGATCCAGCCAATGTCTAACTAGTTTGTCTATTGTTTATTAACCCAAATGCTACAGGAAGTGTTACTAATAATTTTATTTGACTTTTAGAGAACTTAAAAGAAAAAGTTATGCTTTTCCTATTGGATATTTGGATTTCATTGTGGCTTGATTTGTCTGTTTGCAATTTTTAAATGTGTGCAGATCTTTCCTTGCATTGTTATGCTGGCTCTATTATTGTTTCAAAACAGCAACAAAAAAAAAAAAAAAAAAAAAAAAAAAAACACATGTTACTCTATCAGAATTGGTAATTTCATATAATAACTGCTTCTAAGTAATGTCATATTCACATTATAAAAAATAATAACAGTAATAATAAGAGCATGTCCAACAAAAATGGTTAGTACCTCCAATTTGGTCTCCCGTGGTAAGATTTTCAAGGCCTGAGCTCCATTGATTCGGTCCCACCTTCGTCCCAACAGATCAAGGACCTGATCAAGCATAATAGTAGAAACTCCTTCCTCACCAATATCGTCTACATCACCGTCACTCTTATTACTATCTGTGCCACTTGGACTGATTCGAGTGTCCTCAGCACCTTCAATTTCTGCAATTTTCTTAAAGCGGTTTCCCCTGAGTTTAGTTGTAGGTCCTGGGCCAGGCTTAGGTATTCCAGGGCTCTGGGATGATACCAGATTATTGATTCTATTTTCAAAGTTTTTTGTAGTCTTCCGAGGGTTCAAATAGATTTGCAGTAGTGTGAGGTATATATTGCTGTGAGATTTTACTGAATTTTGCTGAACTCCAGACTCATATACTCGATCACAATAGGAGAGAGCAAGATCAGGAACATGAAGCTGGCAATGTTTAAAGAAAGACTCAATCATGGCTATAGTATAAAAAATTAGAATAGATGATGGACAAAACAAGAATTACAGTGAGAAACTGAGGGCTTAAGTGCATACCACATCTAAATAGTAAATACTGACAAAAGTAGGGGGTAACAAGTATATTTGAGCCCTTTTCCCAGGTCAATGTACACATGGGAAATGATGAATCAAAGGAGCAAATAACAGTAACAAATTTAGAAAATAATCAGAAGTCCTTGACAGATCAGTAGATGCACTACTCAACAACTAAAGCATATAAACTTCTCAAGAAGAATGATCAAACATTTAGATAATAAAGGGATGAGCAATATTAAACCACTTATCAATAAAGAAGATCCAGAGTCATTAGTCTTTAATGGACCTTACGTTCCTCCAAAGAGAGCCTACACATCAACCTGAAAAAAATACCTTGTGTACATAAATGGATAGGGCAAGCTCATGTTGATTCATTTTTCCCAACAGGATAGCATGTTCCTCAAACAATGCATCTGGAGGAAGTCGCTTCAATAAAATATCTGGATTGTACCCAGAGACACTCTCCAGAGCAGACAGTAGCTTTTTTCTTGTTGGGGAATAAGTTTTCTCATCCCAGTTCTTCTGAGAATTAAGTTCAGTATACCAATCAAGCACTTCTGAAAGATAGATTTGCACCTGTAATGGGTTAATTAGCACATATTTTAGATAGTTAGTTATAAAGGAAAATGCCCACTTCACATAAAAGCATCTCATTCAAGCGGATTTTATCATCAAATTCCCCCCAAAAAAAAACTTTTCACAGCAAAAGAATGCTTTTATGCCTGGATACATTTTTCAGTGGATAGGGAAGTTTTTAAAAGGAAGGAGGGGAGATATGTAAAGGGTGGTGGATAAGAATTGTATTCTTATGAAATTGTGTAATTATTTATTAGATCATTTCTTATTAATTGTTATTTCAAACCAATTTTGGAGCAACAGCAATAGCTTATGTGAAATGGTTTGCAATAATTCCAATTTCACATGTACCTTCTAACCCAACAACGTAAATGCACGTTGCACACCATGTTTAGTCTTTTGCTCTTGTCCTCCATCCACTTCATATTGGATCAGACATGGCCACATGGGTATAGGGAGAGAATTCCAAGTTTCTAACCTAACTTGAGGGTTCTATAAAAATCAAAGGAAAGAACAGTAAGCAAGGACACAAGAATCAACAATATTCTTTACCATTTCATTCTGAAGATTTCCGGAAATGCTATTTTCATTCATTGCAAGCATAAGTTCCAAATATGTAGCCTGCAAGTTAGGAGCATGCTGCTTTAAGTAAGAATTGACCATGTCTGCCGGAATGTTCCCAGATAAGAACAGCTCAATAGTTTGCATCGGACAACTTTCAAGGACGACCATTGAGAACTCCAAAACAAGCATGGGATCAGTCTCACACAGAGGCTGCCAAATAAAAGAATAATCAGATTAAATTTTTGCATGTATGGAAAATCCATGTTACATACATCAAGGAGATCAAGTGAGCACTTATAAAAATAAGTAGATGCGCAGGCAGATAAAGCAGACGTCATAATCTTGAAATCCTGTGGACCTTCTAGGATAATCCTCTTTTCTATCCCTCAAAGAGTGTAAAATGAAGTCATTAATTTTATTTTTAAAAAAAAAGAAAAAAAACACACACACACATCAAGTTAATGAGTCTACAATCCAGCAGCTTCAGAAAACCGAAAAATGAGTCCATATTTGAAAACAAAAAATTCAAGAAAGCAAATAAAATCTCAATCACAAAGAGGCGCATACTTTTAGGTATTCAATGATCAACTCAGGCTTGAATTTCTGTGACAGCTCAGCAGATGCTTGGTCTGACGTGGACTCTTCCACCAATTGATGAAGAAGTTTAAGCGCTTCACGATGCATTCCACTGGTTTTGTAAAGTTCTAGCAAACAGAAATACTGACTCCTTTTCTGCAGGAATTCCTCACAGATCTTTACATCACAATAGTTAACACCTCTCAGCAAATCCAGAGCAGCTGAAGCCTGTCCAGTTAAAATCAGTGCTTGTAGAAGTGCAGTGTCCAGTATAGCTGCCATATCCCGAGCAACTGAGCCGATAGGAGTA